TCACTCAATTCCTCTCGATGGACATGGAAGTTGCTCCGGCAAGATGGACAATTCCCAGCGATGGAACGACAACTTGTCAAGAAGACTGGCGTGCAGCGAATGAAGTGCAGAACCGGGGCAGGGATGGACTCACGTCAAGTTGCTGGATGACAGAGCGTGTTGCAGCAGATGCAGACTGAAGAGGTGACTGCCGACAGAACTGAAGACTGGCAAAGATGATCAAAGCCAAGTTGCAGCTCCGCGTTCTTCTGCAAATTGACAGATGGCGGTTGCGTTGGACACCCCGTAAAGGCTAGCTGGATTGAGAAGTGTTTGATTTCACGTGTGCGGTCCGCTAGGCACAGGATCCAAAACGGATCAGATTTGAAAACACTTTCAAGATCTTTCAAGACATGTTGAGAGGCAGGTTTCTTGCTGGGCGGAATTTCGTTGCGGAAAAATTGAGAAAAGATGCCATGCTTTCTGTTGAAGAGGTGCCCTCTGAACAGACCCAACTCACCCTTGGCCAGTCAGCAGGAGCAATATAAACTGTCTCCAAACTATGAACTGTTATGAAATGAATTGACATGAACATCAGAAAGACTTTCGCCATCTTTCGCAATGTTTTGCCAAGGATGGCACTCGAAATGCTCCGCTTGAGGAAAGAAAGAAGGCTTGGCACCACTGTGGGCCGAGAACGGGTGGTAGGTAACTGGTTCGGGAGCAGGTTAATGGCTTACCAAGCTCAGCATTGGGAGTAAAGCCCCACAAAAAAGTTTTTGACAGGAACAGTAAGATCAGTAAGATTCCATTTCAGCAGTGGCCATGCAGGTCTTCAAGGACCTGCAGAGGCAACTGCACCCTGACAAGAACCCCCAGGACCAGGAGGCCGATTCGAAACTGATAAACATCCGGGCATTGCCGGGCATTCTTTGTTTTCCAATGTTTTTCACGTGATGACATACATCGTCATACATCCTTATCCTTAATCTTAGAACCTGCAGTTATATAGTTACCTCAATTAGTTCCTGCAGTGGGCTGGCTGCAGGACGGCTTCTACGCAGTTTATACGAATTCAACACATGTGACAATTGTATGCAATTGTCATGTCTTCTGCCTGGAGATGAATCCAAACCATACCAGGCTGCAAAATTGGCTTTCCAGAAGCTCATGGAGAATCGTTTGTCGTCCCAGTGCAGTTTGCATATGCTTCTAGCATCTCAATATGTCAATATCTTTGCATGAAATCTGAATAGAGCCCGAGAGCCCCATGTGTTCAAAGACAAAGATGTTCAAAGCCTTTTGAGTTTCACTCCTGACTTCTCCCTCATGCTCACCTAGGCAACGTCTACTTGTCGTGAGCGAAAATGTACAGGGCAGTGGCCGCACTGATAGACTGATAGCCCATCTCTTCCATGATTTCCATGGACTCCTTGGTCTTTCAGCTTGTGCTACATCTAGGCACAGCAGCGCAATACAACACAAGCAATCACCATTCAAAGTATTCAAATCATTTCATGCAGGAAAATGCGATTTGAGTCTTGCCCCAACCACTGCGACGTCTCTGGAGAGGGTCTTAGCTTGAGGAGCATGCCCTTCATTTCCACTATGTATTTCACCTTAGCTCGGGCTGTTTCAAAAACAGTCCTGCAGTCTTCAGCTATGAGCATTTTTTTCGAGGAAAGATGATACACAGTACCTATGGTGAGCCTATGGTGCCATTTGCTCATGGAAGAAGGTTCAGAATGATTCAACCTCAAACAAGTTTGCAGAGAATCACATGCCCAATTGCTGAAGACTGGACAATACGTGACAACGCGCCTTGTGCCCACATGTTGCAAAGACTCGATCACTGTCCAGCGAGTCTCTGCATCACGGCAGATAGATAGATATTCACATGATGATGTAGTCTATAATGTAATGTCAGAATGTCAAGGTCAGAGGGTGAATATGTGTATACATATGCATACAGTATCATACAGTAACTTGTGCATATAAGATCTAGAGTCTAGAGGAGAGCGAGAGAGAGAGAGAGAGAGATAAGTTGTAGCCTGTTTCTTGCAGCCTGTTTCATTGTTGCGTGAGATGTCGTGAAACTGAAGGCACTGCTGCCACTCGGCGCTTAATAGCGTCATTTTTTTCAGTACAGGTGGCAATTCAAGACGTGGTGATGCCGCTCCTGTAAAGAATGTGTTGACTGGGCTTGCGGTCGCTTTGCGTTGGGCCATGACCTTTCACTGGAATCTGTTGGAAATAGACGAATGATGACGAATGCAATTCCTGGCCCAAGCAAAGAGCCCGCAATCGCACGCATAAGCGTGACGAAGCCTTTCTTGAGGTCAGGCGCCTGACGTTGAGACAAAAGGAGGTGCACACTCTCAGGTCTATGCAATGGGGTACAATGGGAATAATATGAACTTGAAGCGAGAGGGTCTGTGCCATGGCGAGGACATCGTGCAGGAAGAGTTTGCAGGTTTCTTGTTGGCTGTATAATTCACTGTACTCCCGATCGGCTGAATTGCAGGGTGTTTGGCTCGCAATGTATGGAGCATTGCATTGCTGAGGAGCCAAGGTGGAATCAAAGAGGTTCCTAATTGTGGCTTTGGTAGACTGCTCCCCACAAGGAAATGCGCAATCACCCAGTGTGGGTACATGATACATGTATTGAATGTATTGTACCTCTCTTTCTGAGACCTTCGGTAAGGATATTCAAATGATTCAAATGAGCTCCTCGGTTTGTACATCACAGATCAACAAAAATGATTTGAACTTCACTAGCGATGCTGACGCTCCGCATCATGGCTTAGTCGCGGCCCCAATGGCGAGATGCTACCGAAACGTCTGGGTGGCGTGGCTTGCTGGCACGTGTGTTTCCATCAGTTTCAATTGTTCACCAATCCTTTTGCACTTCGTGTTTTGTTGGATGCACTTGTTCTGCAAGCGAGCTGCCAGATTCTGCCAGGTTGTTCTGCATTGAAAGCCTTCTACCAAATTTCTCGCTCCTTCAATGGGAGAAGCCCAAGCAGCCCAAGCACGTCATGGCCTCAGTAGACCGCATGGCTCAACGCCTTTCCAGTTGAACCAATGGCATGTACAGTAAATCTTGAGGTATGGCTGTGAAACAATCCCAAGCCGGGCAGCTTTTCTTAAAGCTTCATGACGCAACCAAATTATTTTGGAACGGCTATGTGTTTTTTTTTCCCCTTTTTAATTGAAAAGATGCTTTGGTGCCTTTCTTGGGAAGTAGGACCTGCGAGGGCATAAATTTGCAGACTGTGGAAAAGGCACACGAGTGAAGATTCCGTCCATTGTCAATGGGTGTTACAAGAGGTTTCGCTCCGCTGACAGTTCCCAGCGGAGCAAGTTGCAGCCACAGAATTATTCGCTGGTCGATCTAGACAACCGACTTGGCCATGATGATGCTTCCCATCCATTAAGATTGAAAAGTGGTGCGACAAACAAATGCCACATGACAATTCCCAGTATCAAACAAATGCGACGAGGGTTGGTGTGAAGAGAACATCAACAGGAAGCCAGTATATGAGCGTTGCTCGGGTTGGCAGCGTGTTGTTTCAGAGGTCGAGCATTGCCAACTGGACAACCTGCAGCGCATTAGAACTAGGCGGAGGACCTTTTCAGCTGCACTTCTTGCCACTCAACTGCATCCGATGGCTCCATATGGTCCAAGTAGATGTCCAAGTAGACATCATCAGTCTTCATAATTCATGTTTTTTTAGATCAAGGTACTCATGGCAGCTAGCAGCTAACATCGGGCATCGGCAAACCTTATAGATAGGACTAATTGCTGTAGTGTGGATATCTCGTGATATCTCTTAGAGTGGTTGAACGTTGAACTCAACTTAAAGAACACGTCCTAATTAGTTCTAGGAGCGCAAACATGCCAATCATGCCACGCAACTGCGGGTGTAGCTAGTACCAGGTGACCGACGTAGATTTCGACAGCTGGCATTTCCCTACTCCAGGAGTAGTGGACCTTGGGAGGTCAATGCAACAAAAATAACAAAGAAATAAACATATACGGTATATAAATAAACTAAATAAACATACATATAGATTCTATAATATAGATTGTAATATAAGTATAATTAAGATTAATTAAGTATAACATATACATAATTATACATAATTATACATAATTATACATATAAGTAAGGGACCAACAGGGACTAGGAATCGCAACTGTCAGGTGAACTGCCAAGTCAAATTCAGTATAGCTGAGATCACCTCAGCGCAGGGAAAGGCTACAGATTTGTGCGTGGCATTGAGTTCAATCCAACCAGTTTCCCTTAGGCGAATCTCTTGGACGTCGAGCCTGCCTTTGGAAAATCTGATGCGCTGACCCTTCCGCTGGACTTTGAGAGAGGAGCTTTCCTCCTCAGGTTTGAGGCCAGTTTTGTTGAACCAGGTTGCAAGTCAAGTCGTATCCTCTTCTTTGGATTAGTAGAGGGCTCCAGGGTTGTGGGGTAGGGAGAGGTTCTTAGGCACTACCCGAGTGTCTTCAAGCGCAACTTTTGCTTGAGCTCAACTTGAGCTTCGCTGCAAGGTGCAAGGTTCAACCTTCCGCGGTGTGGCCGACACGGGCAGCCCGTTCCTGTTGGTAGCTGCTTGTGTTGGCGCTCGCAGGGCTGCAGGGCGCTGCTCGGAGGCTTCGAAGCAGTTGATGAACAGTTGGTGAAGGGTTCCTGTTGAAAATGTGGTGATGACCACATTCTTATTACATACTGTTGCGGTACGTATATATATATATATACACATACGTATACACATACCTTAATATGAGCATGTTGTTCTACACTGGTTCTTGAAAGTGCATAGACTCCCGGCTTGTTTCTTTTTGTTTCTTGTGGTCTGGAATGGTGTTCACACAGTACCCATTCCACTGAGGAGTATTGCTCTCGATACGGATGCAGTCGGAAGGAGGTGGGTATCGCCTCAGGACTTGATGACAACATTGTTGTCTTCGCTGGGGGCTACGCTAAAGCTTCTTGTCATTTCTCGTATTTTTTCCATTTTTTAGGTGGCACTGAGTGCTGCAAATAGTCGATTCTATAGTTGCATTCTTGTTACACAGGCACACGCACACTTAGAACTTTGGAACCTTGTGGACGCCTCATCATCACCCCATATCATTCCCAGACATCTCCAGCCTGCAATGTTGGTAAGGCTGTTTGGCGTAGTGGCAACGTGCAGTTGGGCTCTGGCGCTTTCCCCAACACAGTCTTTGGCGTGCTGGGGGAAACGCAGAGTTTCGGTGGCAACGCTGGTGGGCCAAACTTTGGCTTGATCCGGGCTGCGGCAGAGGACTCCGAAATTCGTCCAACCTTTTTGAGCCAGACGCCTTACAAGATCATGTCTTTCGAATTAAGGAATTTGTCGGCTCCAGTGCTTGAGCTGGCCAAGTCAAAAGAAGACCGACCAAGAAATGAGAACGCTGCGCACCTGGTTGATTTGAGGCCCTTGGGCGCTGGGGTTCAGTACTATTCGGTTGCTGTTCAGGCACTGTTGGTTGATGGTGTGGATATTCTCGAATCCCAGTCGAAACCAACAGTTGCCATCCTGGACACTGGGACAACGGGCCTCGTGCTGCCAAAACAATTGTTCTTCGCCTTTGACACTGCCCGACGAGCACGCGCTCAAGAAGTTGGCATCAAGCGTTCAGGCAACGTGGAAGTGCAACTGGCACCGTTGAATCTGAGCCTCGGTCGAAGCAACGATGGCAAAGGTCCTGTGCTGAAACTGAGGAGAGGTCGAATCCCCGAATTGAATGCAGCCCTTGACATTGTGACCCCCCTCTCTGATGATGCGGGCAGTGTGTTCTTGAGGGCAGAAATGCGAGATGAAGAGCTCAGTACCAAAGTGGAGAGGCCCACTGTCATTTTTCTGGGTTTAGGGTTCTTTGCAGGATTACGATGCTTGGGCAACATTTAACATCATTTAACATATTTGGCTTTTGTTCATACTGCTTTTTGATGTTTAATCGTTTCCGATCAAACAGGCAGATGATCTTTATGGACACACGCGCAGAATTGCACAGAAGCATCACATTCCGTGTGCGATGTAAGGAAAAGATTGACAACTTGCACTCATGCACAAAAACGCAGCATCACACCATACGCATGAGTACAGTGATATATGTAATTCTAATGAATGCATTGTTTACACGAAAATTATTGTATGATATTGTCTATGCATATACGACAACAATATGCACCCACCACATACCCACACACACACACATACATATGTACATTATGCGTAATATATCCCCAGATGCATATACATGCACGCCTGCATGCATACTTTCATGCATAATTAATTACATACACACGTACACACGTACACACGTACATACATACATACATACATACGTACGTACGTACGTACGTACGTACATACATACATACATACATACACACACACACATACATACATACATACATACATACATACATACATACATACATACATACATACATACATACATACATACATACATACATACATACATACATACATACAACATACATACATACATACATACATACATACATACATACATACATACATACATACATACATACATACATACATACATACATACATACATACATACATACATACATACATACATACATACATACATACACACAGACATACATGCATGCATGCATGCATGCATGCATGCATGCATGCATACATACATACATACATACCTGCATACCTGCATACCTGCATGCATGCACAGGCAGCAGGCAGCAGGCAGGCAGGCATGCAGGCAGGCAGGCAGGCAGGCAGACAAACAGACAGACAGACAGACAGACGTCCATGTAGGCAGGCAGAAATACACGCATACATGCGTACATGTATACTATATTATACTATATTTACATATAGACGATACATGACATGACAACTGACGATGTTGTTTGCCGTGGATGGCACAGCCGCCGAGGAATTGAAATCGACAGCAAAGCCGGCATAGTGACCTTCATTTAGCAACAAGGATTCAAAAAGCGCCGCGCCCCACGGCTAGCGTTCGATTGGTGCTCCATTTGAACGGAGTTTCCTCTTTTTTGAAAAGGGAGATATTGATATGTCCGCATAGAGGTTACCACGCAGATCCTTACCGGGCAAAGGTTGCGGGGTTGTAGCCTTGCCCTAGTCTTAATTCTGCATGTTGGTTCTGCAGCCATCCAGTCTCCCTGGGAAGATGGAAGAGAGTGGCCAAAGATGCCGCATGCACCCAACAAACCAGGCAGATTTGTCATGTGCACATATTGGCACACCTTTCTGAGGGAAGATGGACATGTGTGGCCCCCAAGGGAACGGAACGAATTAAGGACGGCTGATCGTCCAACATGTGAGGAGGGCCATGCAGGGTCCAAGCATCACGCAATACCACCCAGCTGTTGTGCAGGTTCCCAGAGCGGTAGCAGGCCAAGGCTGCCGAGACAGCCGCGCCTGATAGTTTGAGCGTTTCAAAATGTATGAGAGAAGGTTATTGAAGTAATTTAATAATTTCTCTGTGATTTCCCTGAGTTCTTCATGGTGCATTCTGCTTGTATGTTTCTACATGTTTCTACCTCTCAGCAGCCACGATGAGGTCTTGACAACGGTCAATTATGATGTCAGCAACGCTGTTTCAATCAGAATACGTAGTAGACAGATGTAGACAGCCTGATGACATGAGACAAGGTATTAAGACCTGAGGACCAGTAGCTCTCATGGCATGCTTTAGTCCACGCAGACGCAAGCAATCATTCCAGTGGCGAGCAGAAAGCAGGCCACTGAATTTGACAGCTACGAATCAGATAAAACTTGAATTGCTGAAATCAAGCCCACTAGCTTATGGCAAAATATGGCAAACTTTAGCCGGTATGTTTCTCGTCAGCAGCAACATGGCAGTGGGGTGTTGCGCCATGTTTGCAGTCCACTCATGCCTGTCCGTGGACAGTGACAACTGAGCTGGACTTGGAGCCGCATGGAGCGGTACCATGTGTTGCAGATGGTCGGACAGGGCTGCTTCGGCAAAGTCTTCAAGGGACGTCGGAAGCAGACTGGAAAGATAGTTGCAATGAAATTCATCTCTAAGCGTGGCAAGCCTGAGAAAGATCAGGAGAATCTACGACGTGAGATCGGGATTCTCCAGAGGTTAGATCATGAAAACATCATCCTTTTGTTGGATTGGTTCGAAACCAGCACTGACTTCGTGGTAGTGACGCAATTTGCCTACGGCGAGCTCTTTGAGATCTTCCAGGATGACAAACGGCTACCAGAAGCAGAGGTGAGCAACATTGGGAGACAGCTTGTGAAGGCCCTGAATTACCTACACTCAGAGAAAGTGATTCACCGTGATATGAAACCTCAAAACGTGCTTGTCAGCTCCAATGGCACGATCAAACTCTGTGATTTCGGATTTGCAAGAGCTCTGTCTTCCTACACTACAGTGCTGACATCCATCAAGGGAACTCCACTGTACATGGCACCAGAACTGGTTCAGGAGCTACCCTACGACGGACGCGTCGACTTGTGGTCTCTGGGAGTAATATGTTACGAGTTGTTTGTTGGTCAGCCACCATTCTACACAAATTCTCTGATGACATTGGTGCAGTTGATCATACAAAAACCAGTGCATTTCCCAGACTCCATGTCTTCGACTTTTCGTTCTTTCTTGAAAGGTTTGCTTCAAAAGGACCCATCCTATCGTTTGGGATGGCCAGACCTCTTGAGTCATCCCTTCATCAAGGAGGCTTTTGGTCGGCAAGGCTCGGCCCGTGAGGTCGGCGCATTGCGACCACCACCAGCTCGTGCACGCAGCAGTTCCGCCAAAGCAACGGCCACGAAGCATCTCATCGAGGCCTGGGGTCAGGCTGCGGCTGCGCCACTTGGCATAGCTGGTGGAGCTGGTGGAGCTGGTGCAGGAGCACCACCTGGTGCACTGGTCACACCTGGTGGATGCCAAACATGGCAGACCATCGAGCCCTGGCTGCCTTTCTTCAGACAGGCTTCAGCTGCTCCAGGGCGCCATTGCAGTGATACTTTGAACGAAGACTTTGCCGACCTTTGCGTGAAAGTGTTGGAGCTTTATGCTGAAGTACTGGACTTACAGCTCGTGACCAAGGAAACCCCAAGACTGGAGCGCCAAGGATTAGAGCTGAGCCTCACTGAGGCCAAGAGAGGAGAGGGCAAGATGTCGCTTCCTTTGTCTTGGCTTCTCCGGGGTTTGATACATGTCTTTAGCCACGCTAACCCTCCTGCAGTGCTATCGCGCTTAGCAACGACCATGTGTGCTTCACAGCTTCTAAAAGTGATGAAATGCCTATGTCAGAGCCATGCTCGGGATTGGGGTCCAGCATGGGATGTGCTCTCTGACCTTAGCCGATTGTTTGGCCTTTGGTTGAGATCTTTGCTCACACTGGGGATGACAAAGCTTTGCGACGAAGTGCTTTGTCCAGATGGTATTTTGTTTCAATTTCTCGCGTTGGCTCCAGCTTTGATTGTGAAAGAAGGTTCTTGCAAGGAACTTGGAGTGCAATCTGATACGATAAACCATGTGGGCGCAGCAATCAATTCGGTGAAGTGCATAGGGGTGGTGTTCTCGCACATCTCAAACGCTGCGTCAGCATCTCCAGGCTCTTCGTTTGCGGCTGGGCTCTACCGTGGTTTATCTGGACTGGATGGGAACAAAGCAAGCAAAAGAACCGCGGAAGCAGTGGCGCTCTTGTGTGCCTGCTTGCGGTGGCACCCAAGATTGACAAAAAACGCACTGTGCCCAGCGAATGAGGGGGAGAAGATGTTTCGTGCCGTCGTTCAAGCTCTTGCGGCACTCATTACTCGGTCAGGGAAGAGCTTTCCCTGGGGTGATTTGGCCACTGCCCCAGGTGCAAAGTTGCCAAGCTCCAAGGACTCCAAGGACTCCAAGGTCTATCTTTCGGTTCGAGGCCTCATTGATGCTGTGAGAACTGAAATGGCGCGCTCAGAAGGACTTCCTGGCGAGGGAGAGCTGACAGCTTTGCTTTGGGAATTGCGGCATGATGCTTCTGCCCTGAAACTGCTGATTGGTCTTCTCTGGTCTTCCAACGAAATGAACCTTGGCTTGAAATAGGCTGCAGCTGGGTTTCTAGCCCACACCAAACCCAAAGCTCTCAACATTCAGAATGTTTGAGAAACATGAAAACTTTGACTTGGCTTTTTTGCAGCTACGCGCCGGCATGTCTTTTCGACGAGGTGCAAGGAGCTGGCTGCAAGCCTGACCGATAGCATTGGTCTTGGCTTCAGCCCGGAGAGTGTGTTGACAGCTATTGAGGTGGGCAAATCAGCCTGGGCCACGACAGATCATATGGCACCCCCAAAAGTGCAGACACTGAGTGAAGGGATAAAATCGGATAAAATGTGAACAATCGCCTGGAAATGCCGGAAATTACTAAGTCGATCCTCAACTTGGTGCCAGGCGACTTGCCAGGATCGTGCGCAGCACAAGACCCTGGGGCCACTTGCGATGTTGCTGGTGGTCCACGTTTTATGCTTGAGGCCCTTCGGCACCTCGGCCTAAGATTTGGTTAAACTTCCTTGCAGGATTCAGGGCGCAAGTCGAAATCAGGAGCATTTCATTGAAACTCGCGATTCAGCACCTGTTTCATCCTTTTGGAGACGTTCATGGATATTTATATACCCCTCTGGAAAACCTAACGCCCAACAAACGGCTGTTTCGAAATGTTTCGAATAATTAGCAACTTTTTGGAGGAAGAGTGAAGGAAAGGCAGAAAATACTCCAAGCTCCCCACTCACTGATCTTAGTGGAAAAAACATGAAACAAACTGTAGAATCACATTCGAATCATTTGATTTGCACTGGAAATCTTGGCTCCTTGGAGTTCAGTGCTGAGGTGGAGAGCCCCAGTTTGCACGGGTCGGAAGCCCACCGCGAACTTGCTCCCCACTGCCTCCATGGTGCAATTTGACAACGATGCAAGCGGTCATTTCATGCCTCCCATTTGATCCTGGCCAGCAAGATGTGATCTCCGTCCTCTGCCGATGCCGCTCGTCTGCATATAGTATATTACTGTATATTAAAGGGACAAACTGTTCAAGCTGCTCTATTTTCTGCAGGGTACGTGTGCCTGTGCATGCCTGTGCCATGACAGCCCGCAAGAGATCCGAAATTTCAGATGACACTCGGAGAGACTGGTCAGGCTATGCGCTTGAACTGGTGGCAGCTCTGGGCTTCTGCCTGACAGCAAGCAAGGACAGAGCAGATAGGTGTTTGCCACATTCGCAGTCGATTTTGACCAGAGAACAGCGGAATTAATTATATAAGTAGATTGTAAAGCTCAAAGGGTGCCAGCGATCAACAGTCGGCTCGCGGCTTGCATGCTAGGCATTTGAAAGACCGGCCCGTACTGTCTTTCTGTCGCTTGAGGACGCGCGTGCACAGATTTGTGAATCCATGAATGGTGTTCGTGATGTGGTCCATGTTCTTCTGTCCTCGGCAGCTACGAAAGCCTTCACTCAGCAGCTCATGGATGAACTACAGCTGAATGAGGTGTTGTCTTTGTTGTATCGCTTGCTGTACTGCTTGGACAGCAGGGAGCTGTGACTACAGTGTTTTGCAAAACAATATCATCCATCATGTCTGTTGAGAAGAACTGTGCTGTCCCTGAAACATTTAAAACCGTTTTTTTAAAATGTTTTTTCATACTTTTCACGGTTTTTGTGCACAAACTGCATGCCAATCAATGGGCAGACTTTTTCCGAAGGTGGCCGCCCATGGTTGCCTACTCCGCGGCCCATTGGATGGCGTTCTGGCAGTTGCGTCTCTGCAGCGGGCCTTGACATCAGGCAGTCCTCCACAGCTTGTGCGGAGTCTTGGCTATGCTAGCAGCATCTACTAGTTACTAGTGGCAGCTACACTCAGATGCAGCGGGCACCAGCTTGCCACTTAAAGCTGCCAGTACTTCTGAATACTACTGAGCTTGTCTACATCTGTCTACTTTCTGCAATTTCCTCAGGACCGTTCTGGGTGCTGCATTTGCAGCAGAGGAACCAGAAAGTCTTTTGGCCTTGATGGGCCCTAAAGCTTTGCTGCAGTTCTTAGACATTTTCGCCGGATCGCAGGACACTGACTGCAGTTTTCAGATGTTTTCAGATGAACCAACTTTTTCTTCCCAAAGTGTTACGTGCCATGTCATCAGCACAGTGTGAGAGGAGTTCTTGGCCCCGTCCTTCGCCACTTTGAGATGTGCGCTCTCGCTCTTCTCAGCTTTGCAGCGGCTTCCCTAGATTTTTTGTAGCCTTTTGCGAACCGTTTTGCACCATTTTGTAACCAACGTGCAGTTGGACAATGGGCTCAGGTGCTTGAGTATGTTGCCTTTGTCAGAGATACCCGGAATGCCTGTCAATCTGGCACCCGCCTTCGAGGCGGATTTGGCGTCGAGATATAGAGGGTGTTTGAAGTTTGAACAAACATTCGATGGTGTCACGATGTCACAGTGTCACGGCAGTCTGTCCTGAACCGATTGATTCTGACCAGGCTTCGCTGGGGCTGATCCTGCAGATTCTGCAACTTCTTGAGCCAGAGCGCGGCAAGGTGGAGGAAATCCATGCAGAGTTTCACCGCTACCAGACGATAGCCACGGTTCTGTCAGCTGCCTCAAGAGTTGCTGCAATTTCGACCATCGCTGATCCCAGCATCATTTGACACCGTTTTCATCACCATTTTGGCGGCGTTGACTCCGAGGCGCTTGTTTGCAACGCTGGCCATGGAGCAAGGTGCCTTTTCTTTTGGCTACGGCCTGGCGAGAGTCCGAGGGCTTGAGGGCGGGTGCCATGAGGTGAGGTATTCCAATGACCTCACTAAATCACAACACAGTAATATAATGTGATATATACACACAATTACACACGCATATAATATATATATATACACATACATTATATTATATGTATAATACTGTATAATTCTACCTATCTCTATATATATATATATTTATTTATAGTATTTTTATAGTAGTCCACTGTCATTAGTGCGCATCAAATGGAATTTTTGCATGCCTGTGGCAGGTATGGCTGGAGGTAGCAAGACTTGGTGGCCATGCTTTTGCTCCGGGCTTCACCTTTTGACGGTGCTGGTGCTTGAGCACCAAACGCTCGCTCATGAGTTCGTGATGAATGAAGGCAGTTGCTGGCCATCTTGTCATGTGAGACCCTTTGCCCTTTGGGTCTCTGTGAGGTTGTCCCATGTGACTAGTGACTAGTTCGTTCATGTTCGTTCTAAAACAAGAGTCACTTGAATATGCCTCAATGCTATGCTTGCAGGCGTGCAGATGGTGAAGAGGCGAAAGCTTCTGTCGATGGAGCTGGTGTTCTCTGAAGAGGGTGGTGTCGCTGCTTGTCCGAGGGTCAACATGGGTCAATTGATGTCAATTGTGATGATGCAAAAATTATTGGGAGGCGGGCGTGGTATTGACACCAGCATCACCAGCTCGTTTTGTTCTGTTCCTATTTATTCCTATTTGTTCCTTTCGTATCACAACATGTCAAGGTTGTGACTGATGTGCTGGTCATCCTGTCGCAGCTGGCACGCTTGTAGCCTGGCAGCACTTCAGCAACCAGTTCTACAATGTTCTGCACAGGACATGAAGCCATTCCTTACACTTTTAGCTGTTGAAGGCTGTTGAAGGTTTGTGCTAAGGTCGGCAGATTACTACCCGCTCTTGTTCAGCATGGACATTTGCCCTGCTTTGCGGGAGCTTCTTTCCTGCGCCAATCCTGCAGTTCGAGCCAAAGCATGCAGCGTTCCTCAGCAGAACGTTTCCATAGACTGCAAATGATATACTCAAACCATCTCAAGCGAACTCAAATGGATATTCGCTAGGGTTTGTGATTTGAGTCTGTGGATCCCTGTGGACATGAGTAGCTCTCGCTAAGTCCAAGGTAGTACTAGTAGCACTAGTGCATGCAGGTGGCCCTTGTTAGCATTCAAATAACCGCACTGCGTTCACAGAGGAATTTTGTGCACATGTCTTGGAAAGGCTGTGGGCAACATGGTGCGACATTCGGATGTCTTCTACCATGAAATGAAGCAGGTGCCACCTTGCCGACACCGCAAGGTCAATTTGCTTCATTGCTGTTTAGAGACAGTAAAACATAGTATCTAGCATTAGCTCGCTGAATCATCTGAATTTAGGTTGCAGATGCTTGCAGCATTTTTTCCGGCCATTGGAGATGTAGAGAACTTGGTGCAGGCTGGGGTCATCAAGCAGCTGGTGCAACTCTGTAGCGACAGCGACGAAGCCTGCCGCAAGTTTGCGTCCTTCGCTGTAGGCATGGCCCCTAGTAGCTGTCGCGTCCAAGTGATACTTTCCCTTTTTCACAACCAATCTGCAACACCTGCAACAAATATCCATACGGTCTATACGTCAAGTTGAGTCTTTTTCAGATTGGCTACGCATGTTAACACTGCCATAATCTGAAGCCTTTGTCATTATTGTCATTTATACATTTATACATATATATTTATAATGTTATTGACTCATTTTGTCACAGCGATATGATTTTCTAATATTTTCTAATATTTTCTAATATTTTATAATATTTTATAATATTTTATAATACTTTATAATATTTTATAATATTTTATAATATTTTATAATGTTTTATAATACTTTATAATATTTTATAATATTTTATAATATTTTATAATATTTTATAATATTTTATAATATTTTATAATATTTTATAATATTTTATACTACATTCCATAGAAACAAAGAATATTTGCCTATAGATTATGTAAGCAATACATATTTTGAGATTCTTGCTATTTTTGGATGTAAAACTACGGAGGCAACTCGGCCTTTCACTCGTACACGCTGTACAACGACTTGGCACCAGCAATTCCGAAGCTTTTGCATCTTCTGCGGGATCCAGAAGAGAAGACCCGCGCCAACGCCGCCGGAGCGTCATATGCCTCAGTGAAATGGCCAGACAAAGTATTAAAGTAATTACAGTATTAAAGTAGATTGACCATTCGGACATGCAAATCACGCGAGTCAAATTTAGGTGACTGTGACTGTGACATGTGACAGACACGTCACAGACAAGTGACACTTGTTTTTTGACGGTTCTGGTTCTCAGATATGCATATTGGATATGTCGGAGCGGTTGCGTGAGATGAGACTTCCAAAAGGTATAGAATGGTATAGTTATAGATAAGTTTTTGTTGCTGAGGCTTGGAAACTTGGTGCGGAAGCTGGGTTGCAATGTCTTGGCACTGCTTGCGTGCACTACTAATGCATGTGGCAACGTGTTGTGTGTAGACCTTTATGGTGCCTATGTCAATGTGTACCATATGTACATATAGACATGACACACACACAGAGATATGCATATAATTATAATATATATATTATACCACATCACATATGATATATGATATATATATATGTGTGTGTTACTGTAGCCATGATAGATATCGCCAGCAGCTGTTGTATCAATGCGCGCATGTTTGCAGTGACTCATTCTGGACTTTCCCAGTTCTTCCTTTGTCGCTTCGTTCATGTTCAAGTTCATTCAGGTTCAGTGTGCAAGATTTTGCACACTGAGCCTACTTACATGCTCGAACTTAACGCGAAGCACCTTAAAGATACTTCAATTTTTGGTGGTCCCACCAATTTGATTTGAGGAACTCAGACGAGCTTTGCAGAGCGATCATTCAAGAAGGGGCATTGGAAGGCACCAATGTCCGCCGTCAAAGGTCACAAAATTTGATACTACTCCAATGATAAACTAGTGAGAAAGACCAAACAAAGCCAAACATGACCCAGGATATCCCAGGATATGAGCTGGGCTACCTGAAACTCACCTCCAGTCTTGTCAGGGAGTGGTTTTCAGTTGTGAATTCCAAATATTCCGGTCCTCGCAGCCTCGCAGTGTAGAGGTGCTGCGTGTACCCTGATGTACTCTGATGAGCTCTGATGTACCCTGAGCATGGTGTGACTGGAGGTCTTTGTGACATCATCCGGGTTAGATGCCCAGCACCAGATGCGGCGGCTGCCAAGCTGACTTCCGACTCCTCCGTGGCTTGTCTCACTAAGCCCCATCTGGATCCATTTGGATCCAACTGGCTGATGACAGCTGACAGACCAAGGTGAAGATTGCCCTCTTTTCTTTGGGAAACCTTGCCGTACATGCCGCCTGCCGCTCCGAGTTGTGCAGTACGAAGGCAATGTTGGAGCGGTGTGACAAACCGTGCAATAGCGATATATACTGTAATACCTTCTGGATGAACTAGAATGACCGTTAATGACCTCACTGTGACGTCACTGGAATGATGGTTAGTCAGGGGAATCATCCCAAATGGCATTGTTTCAGCGATTTTCAGGTTAGTAAGTTGTTATACAATTCAGCCATAATATATATATATAGATTTATTTATAATATAGTGACGATCTGAAACTTAGAATGTCTACCCAAGCCCCCATTCTTGAGGGTCAGAACTTAGAATACTTGCCCACGTTTTAAAACGATGTAGAAGTGTACTGGCTTTCGTGAAGTCAAAGAATTGCCAAAAAGCAACAAAAGGATCCATGCTCCTTTCCAAATAGTGACAACCTGAAAATTAGAAATTCATGTTGCTTTCCAAGGTTTTGAGCTTTAACAACAGCTCCAACGGCAACAGCAACGGCGACGACGACAACCACCACAACAATCACAGCAACCACAACAGCCAGAATATAGAAGAATGCAATTTGGTGGGTTCTTTTTTTACTGGAATTCTAAGTCTTGATAAAACCACACTGAGATACATACATTAATATATTTCTTTGGAGGCAACTCGGAAACCCAATCGGTCCAAGTTTCAGATTGTCACTATATCAATGTATCAATGTCAATGTCAACAGGATAAGTATCTATATAGATCAAACACACAAACAATTCTATGCATTCAACACCAGCATCATATCCAGGTAAGGGTGCAGTGAAATTAAGCCATGAAAAAACTACGTATACAATCATGTATACATTCGGATTATATATACATACGCACACACACACATATATATATATAGAATCATGTGTATACATATATATATATATATAGCAATATAAATAAATGAATAAATAAATAAATAAATTATATATATATATATTATGTATCTGTATCATCATTGTTTCAAGTTCGAACTTTTTAAAGTGGAGTGTGAATAGGAGGACTTTGTGCCAGGTGGTGGAGCTGTGCCAGTTCTTGGTGAGGATTTGTAACCGCGAGGAGATGGTGCACCAGTGGCGCGGCCATGTCAGGAGATGTCTGTGATGTCTATGTCTCACGAATCTGGGGTTGCCCAGAGATGGAAATTGACCCACAAATTTCATCAAATTTCAGTGATTTTTCATTGATTTTACTGCCCAGGTATGCCAAGCGTTTGTTGCAGAAGCTGGGGCTGGAGACAGCGCGCAGGAAGTCTTAAAAACGTATGCTGCCGTCACAGCCCAGGTATACCTGTGGTTGAAGCACTTTGCCATTGCTCTGTTGTTTGGTGCAACAAAAGCCTCCATGCGCCAGCACTTTCACACTGATGCATGATGTGAGTGGTACTTCTGCAAATCACCAGTGAATCCCCACCCGCGAACGCAGGTCAGCCGTAAATGTCTGAATCTTACCATATCGTAATCGCACCATATCTTGCTGTTCCATCCTCAACTTTCTGGTGGCGTGGTGACCGTGGTGCACTGCGAGGCCTCGCGGTGCCCTGGCCGCGCAGCAGCACGAGCTGGTCGCCGCGTGGTCGTTCAGTGCTGAGAAGCCACAGCCAGCAGCGCAGGTTTCCGGCACCGCGCACAGAGACACGGCTGATGAGCGCATAGAATAAAGCGCACATACCAAGCTACATTTAGCTACATTGTATACACGGATAATGGATAGTATACGATATTCACATGAAATTAATTACAACAAAATGGAGACCTAAAAATGTGAGGCAAACTGGTTCTCTGCAATGACTTTCCCACCCAAGAGAAACAGGAAACTGTGCGCACTGTCTTAGGCAGATCTCTTGGATGCTGTGGCAATCGCCAAAGATGTGTAAGATCCTCAGACTTCCTTAGAGGGTAAGAAACTTAAGGAGAGACCAATTCTCGGCCTTGAGGCAATGAATGATTTGCACATGCATGATATGAATGCATATGACTTGTATTGACTGCTATTGACTGGTGAAATTTCCACAGACTTCCCATGGGCCCCATGACTTCCCAGTAAAGTACCAAAAGGTTGCGACTGAATCTTGCCTGGCTGTTTTGGCTCGAAGAACACGAAGAATATTGCAAAATCCGAAGTCGGGGACAGCCGAGGAAGGCCGGTTGCCAGCATATTGATTTGTGATTCGCGGCCCAGGATACGTTGCCCCACAGGGTTGAAGTTCGGTTGAAGTTCGACTGAAAATGACATTGTCTTTCCAAAATCTTTCCAATCTCAGCTTGCAGGCGGCCAAGCCAAATGGCGGTCAGAGAGGAAAGGCTCCAGCAAAGGCTTGGGCAGCGGCACTGTATGAAGGTTGGTTTGACATGGACGGCTTGCAGCGCAATGTTGGGGCAGTGTTTGACCCAAAGCCCCTCCCTTTCTGTGCTGCAAGTGCTCTCCTTGGAAGGCCCTTCCGGCGGAGTCAAGGTGCCATGGGGGCTCGTACACACACACACACAGTGAATATTCAAGATCTTTCAACATGTCCATCCAAATTCGGATATGCAACTATTATCATATATGATCCCTACCCCCATGAATGACTTTGGTGTAGGGGGAAACATGTAACTTACAATAAACCGGTGGGGTTAAAATATTGTAAGTTATTATTTTTTTGGGCCCCCAAGAAGTAGGGGAGGTTGACAATGTAACAATCGATGTGGGACATCGTAACATTTTAGCACCCCTCCAAATTTCGCTATATGTGCTCTATTGTGCTATATGATTTAATATACATCTTCGTAGATCGTGCAGGATCATGGTATACCATGGTATACCAAGAATTGTCATGGATTATCTATGGAACCTTCTTCCCCCAGAGGAAAAACGTAAGTGGATGCTGGGGAGATTTCCAAAAGCCTGCACAAACACATGCAAACTGTGACCATCAGGTATGCTTTTACCAAATCACCAAATTTAGCAAACAGATGCAAACAGCATCAAACAGCAACGCGGCAGGCCCTGGATGATCCAAACAAAGGGGGGACAGTAAAAGACAGTATGAAATAGATTAGGATAAAACAAGATAGCACAAGTTAGTACAAGATGGCACAAATAGTACAAGAGTACATTATTCTGATCAATCCAAGGATTGTCATGGATTATCTATGGCACTTTCTTCCCCCATAGGAAAAATGTACTGTAAGTGGATGCTGGCGAGATTTCCAAAAGCATGCAACAACACATGCAAACTGTGACCTTCATGTATGTTCATACCAAATCTCTTTCAATACCAAATCTATCTATCTATCTACCTATTTATCTATCTATCCATCTATCTATCTATCTATCTATCTATATCTCTATCTATCTATCAATCTAATCTAATCTATCTAATTAATCTATCTAATCTATCTATCTAATCTATCTATGTAATCTATCTATCTATCTAATCTATCTATCTAATCTATCTATCTATCTAATCTATCTATCTAATCTATCTATCTATCTAATCTATCTATCTATCTATCTAATCTATCTATCTATCTATCTATCTATCTATCTATCTATCTATCTATCTATCTATCTAATCTATCTATCTATCTATCTATCTATCTATCTATCTATCTATCTATCTATCTATCTATCTATCTATCTATCTATCTATCTATCTATCTATCTATCTATCTATCTATCTATCTATCTATCTATCTTATCTATCTATCTATCTATCTATCTATCTATCTATCTATCTATCTATCTATCTATCTATCTATCTATCTATCTTATCTATCTTATCTATCTTATCTATCTTATCTATCTTATCTATCTTATCTATCTTATCTATCTTATCTATCTTATCTATCTTATCTATCTTATCTATCTTATCTATCTTATCTATCTTATCTATCTTATCTATCTTATCTATCTTATCTATCTTATCTATCTTATCTATCTTATCTATCTTATCTATCTTATCTATCTTATCTATCTTATCTATCTTATCTATCTTATCTGATCTTATCTATCTATCTGTCTATCTAGCTGTCTATCTATCTATCTATCGATCTATCTATCTATCTATCTATCTATCTATCTATCTATCTATCTATCTATCTATCTATCTATCTATCTATCTATCTATCTATCTATCTATCTATCTATCTATCTATCTAATCTATCTATCTAATCTATCTAATCTATCTATCTGATCTATCTAATCTATCTATCTAATCTAATCTAATCTAAATCCTAATCTAATCTAATCTAATCTAAATCCTAATCCTAATCCTAATCTAATCTAATCTAATCTATCTATCTATCTAGTTGCTATATGTATATATGTATATATATATATACAAACTGTAGCCACTTTTAGATCTATTGTATCCCCCAGAATATTGGTGGATCTATAGGCCAAATCTCTGTTCAAGACATAGTTGCTATGAAAGACTATGACACTATGAAAAAAAACAATGCAAACATCAATGCAAACAAGACTATGATGTAAATAGATGTGCAATGATGTTCATGTCTAAACAGTTTAGATTATTTTCCCACCATCTTTCAACGGGGGCTGACACAATGGGATACACAACGGGGCAACCACAGCGGGGCAACCACAACGGGCTCGTCTGAAGAGGCCGAGCCCCCCCAACGGGGTAACACACCGGGGTAAAACAACGGGGTAACACAACGGGGTATAACAACGGGAAGAAACAACGAGAACATGGGAAATGGTGGGTATATGTTGTGTGTTTATGTGTATTTTGAATGTACTTTGAATGTGTTTTAGATATGTTTTAGATATTTTGTGGATATGTTTAAAATATGGCTTAGCTATTTTATGGTACTTCATGGTATCATATGGTAACTTTTGATACATTATAACACTTTATATCGCTATATATGATTATGTTGTCAGGTTTTCAGACAATATAAATGTAAAATTGAAAAACCTCTGTACTGGATGTCCTGCAAAATGCATATGTTTGTCAGCCTGAACTTTCATAACTTACATTTTCTATTCCTTCACGGCACCTAAAAATTGTAATAATACATTTTTCACGTCAAAGTCGAACATTGTAATACATTGTAATATTACATTTTTCACCCACCTACCCTCGAGAAAAATAATATTACAAATTTCTGCCACCCCCTGGTCTAAGGGGTAGAGATCATATATTATCTACTATTCTTAAGTGTTTAGTATTATTCGATGATAACCCCGGTGCCCAACTCATTTGACTCAACTTTTCTTATAGCTACTTTCAGGAGGCATTCTGTGCTGCTTCGTTGCTGTGTTGGCGCTGGTCATGAGCAGCCAAGCTTTTATTGCAGCACCTGAGCGAGTATGGAGCTGAGAGAATTCGTGAATTGTGAATGCCCCCCGTGCATCAAGTTATATCAAGTTCCACCAAGACTAACCATGACGCAGGTTGTCATAGCCGTCCCATGTGCATTCATTCGCTGCGTTGGCATGGTAAAGTCAAAATCTGACAAAATGCAAACCTGCACAGTGATGAAAATTTCGGATGTTTTCAGTACTCTACCTAGCAGGTGTGGCGTTTGCCAGTCCAGCACTTGGATGCACTTGGTACGTTTTGGTACCCTTCTGTCTCAGGTATCTTCGGTGTCTCCTGCAAGTCCCACCACCGCTGGCAAGCGTTCGAATGCAGCGGCGCAGGCTGGACTGAGCTGTGTGGGCAACACAAAATTCAGAATATTTAGAATTGCTCAAGCAGATGCCTGATAGATCCTGATAGAATCCTGAACAATCCTGATAGACTGATAGACTGATAGACTTAGTTGAGAAATGTTGAGAACTTTTCGCAGTCACAGGCGCTGCTGGTAGCATCGGCGGCTCCGGAGGCGGCCAGAGCTGCAGATTCGTTGGACGAGGCGCTTCATCCTTGGTACCCTGGCAGCTTCGGCAGCTGTAGCAGCTGCCGTGTCATCGACGTGTTATGTTTGTTATCCAGAAGGGACAAGAAGGGGCAGGAAAGTCAAATCATGTCAAATATGTCAAATCATTTTCGAAGTTTTCATGTTATTTCATGTTATTTCTGTTATTTCTTGTTATTTCTTGTTATTTCTCTGTTTTTTTGGGGTTGTGGAAAGGCACATTGCGCTTGATATACCATCATCATCTTACCTCATAAACCTCTGACTGGGAATTCTTCACCTCCAAGTCTTCGAGCTGGGGTCCTGATGGCGGAACGGCTGGATCCCAGGAATTGGGGCTTCGGCCCCAGGGGCCCCAAATACTGAATCTATTGACACGATTCGCGGATTCCTTTGTGAAGTCGAGCAAAGGACCTCTCTCACTTCACATAGGCACACCT